GAGAACACGCACGTGGCTCGCATAACTCATCGCCGCTTGGGATCGTCGCGGTGGCACCCGAATGTTTCGAACATTAGCTGGCACATCCGCGGAAACAGACGCCGCCCTGCCTGTTTCCGTCAGCGACAGAACGTCTTACGATCGTGCACTCTAAAAAATAGTGGTGTAAACGTTCACCACATTCACGTAGTTAAATAACTCGGTGTCAATTTTAACACCGATACCGTAGAAAACCTTTCGCACCGACAAACGCGGCGTCAACTTCGATGCTACATTATTTTGTCTTCGCGACATGCGATGTGATCGCAATGTTAATTTCACATCGATTAGGTGAGAATTATATAAACACCCGAATGGGTCTTCATTTCACACCATTGGTGAGCATTCACATCCGTAGCGCTTTGAGTGTGCTGTAAAATTCCGTAAAATTCATACACTGAAAAAATTTTTTGTAAAATTACATGATTATGCTGGGTTTTTTTCCGATCCAGCATAATCATGCAATATTACTACCCACACGGAAAATTGCAGACTTTTTTCTGTAATTTTGCATGAAAATTCAAGTGTTTTTACACAAAAATAGTATTTTCACCTATATTTCACCTATATTTTACCATTAATATGTATTTTCACTTTAAGAAATCTGGAAAAAAAATTACAGTTATAATTAGGTAATTTTCCGGATTTGAACAAGTAATTTCCATGTAAAAGTACACTAATTTTTTTCAGTGTACAAATGCATCTTTTGCCTCCAAAGCACTGGAAAGATTTAAGTGGAGACAAAGGAAAAATAAATATAAGATAAACCAGGGTATATAATAGTTTTTTGAAATGCAAAAGACGTACCTTTTCTTAGTTTTTAATAGCGTTTGGCATACTACTTCATTCAAGCTTGAAGTACACGGAGAGACCGATATGGCTACCACATGTCTAATTAGGGTTGGCACAACCCCAATAAATAGTAATATCTGGGACAGCTATATCTGTGGTTGTCATACCCACATTGGTATGATAAGTAGTGGAGGCAGCTATATGCGTTTTGTACAGCAAACTTAGCGAGCGTTGCAACACAAAACAATGTAGGCAACATTTTAACTTTAGTTATTTTTGCCTTAGCCGGTCTTTCCGCGCACGTAATCCTGTCGACATTGAAGAAAAAACATTTCATAGAAAATTTGTTATTAATATACACTGGTCATCTTTCTAGATTTGTAAGGTAAAGATGGCCGCAGTATTATGGGATAGAGAAAAAGGAAAATAATGAAAACGGGAGTCAAAATTATAGGCCACGCTGCAATTTATTTACCGTCGTTGTGTGTCTAACGTTGGTTACAACAGCTGCAATTTATTCGACGTCATAGGACCATCGTGTATGTATGTAAACTGCTATATTAATTATTTTTTAGAGTGACTACAGAAACTATTTAACGATTATGAAAGAAAGTACAGCGTATGGCTAACCGTACGGCCACAATATCTCGATTCACCCTATTGTCAACGTGAAGAAAAAAGGAGAATTTCCTAGTCTTATGCGTCTTAAAAAACCCCGCCATTATTTTCATGTGAATTCTTAGTGCATATTAATTAATGAAATTTACTAATGTGGAAGCAATGAAATCTGTATGAAGAATCACCCCTTCGGTGATCAAGTGAGATGTGTTATGCAAGCATAACGTTTTACTAGTCATTCGTACGCTACGCTTCGCCGTACCGTGATTTCGAAGGAATCGTCACTCGAAACGCGGGGAGGGCTGCTCGTAGGCGTCCAAGTGAGCCCGACGAGTGAGCGGCGGGTCCATTATTGTCCGGAGCTTAATCTGTTTGTTGTATACCGCCGGCGGGCTGCTAAGTGGTATCCCATTCTACGTGCATCCCTACGTTGTATATAGAACCAGCGTGCGACGAGGGGGAGAGGGGACCCCCTTGCGAACGCGACACATGTTGTTACATCATGTCGCCCATTGTCGTCGCGGCGCAACCCCAGCGCTCCGCTGAGTCGGGACGATTTCGGTTGGTGAGAGATGAGCACAGAGTGCATCATGGGGAGCTCTAATCGCGTACCACTTGACACTCAGCGGCCAGGACCTCTCTTTAACCGCGTGTGGTCTCCGCCACCCAGCCGCTGGCTCGCGTCGCGACGTGTAAACGTATTATTTTTTATGTCCTACCGGTACGCTGTACATTTTGCGGCTCGATGACACCTCGAATAAAGCTCCCGGAGATGAATATGCTACATGTGCGCGTAACGGACGTGTGCAGAAATACCCCGCGTTTCTCCTCTGAATATAATAATCACGCAAACACGTATCAATGTTTCTTAAGAAAGAAGAACAGAAAAGTAATATAGAAAGCTTTAATATATGCACGCACATTGTTAGAAATTTATATTTCTTTTCGGCGACGTCAAATTTTATTTTATCAGCAAGATACAAATTTATACGTAGATATCAATTATTCCGCCTTCGTTTTTTTTATACCCCGTGTACATTGCAACGTACTACGGAGTTTGTTAAAGACTACTTAGGGCAGGTTGTTCCGACCTCTTGATAAGTTAACTAATAGCTAAATCAGATGCATGTCTTTGTGTTTCCTTTAAATTAAAAGAAGATAGACATATTAATAATTTAACCGAGTCACGTGAATGGTAAGATTTACTTAGTAAATATATTATTAGAGCTCTGTTGCTAAACATTTAAGTTAATAAGCACAGAGAGGCGATAAGAGCCAAACGCCCAGGTGTTAGGTGCGGGTATAATATTAGATTTAATGTTTAATACAGTTGAGCAAATTGTAAGATTCCCGTTTGTAAAAGAATCGTCAAGTTTTCGATTAACGCGATCGCGACGAAGGGGGGTTGCGTTGGAGAACAATACGTCGTACGCCGCACGCACGGGGGGTTAAACAACGACGAATGAGCCTATCTAATCCTTGACAAGATTTAATGCGGAGTACGTGATATATCTGTATTGCTGCCGCAGGTATCCAAATAATGGATTCTGAGCCGCGTTGCGGCCCTTATCAATCTCGAGCAGTGTTTGCGGAGAGCTTGCGCAGATCGCCCCAGGGGTTGGCTTCGTGCGTTCGCACCCAGGCTGCTCTCCAACCTTGCGCGTTACGTCCGTCGTACGCGAGATCACCGCCGCGACTCTTAGGGTTGCGGGAAGGAAATGGAAAAATCAATATGTTACTTAATCTTGTTGCTTATCGAGAAATAGGCAAGTGCTCGCTACACCATTTTTCTTTTATAAACAATCGTAGAACGTTTTTACGTTTTCCACGCGTTAACACGCGCACCCCCGGTTTTTTGTCGGCAACTGTTTCGCGCTCTTGTTACAAGTCAATATGACATTTATGATCCCTGGAGATTCAAAGCCGCTTACGTTCTACGATTTTGACGTGCGCGTGGCACGTTATCGTTACGTTTAACATACGTCCAATAATTCAAAACATGTTTCAACGCCGCCTCTTTCATTTCCCCGTTAACGAAGTTGACTTATTTCTCGCGCATTCGTCATCGAGGAGTCGTCGTCGGGTAGGAAATTTATTTCGATGGCTTGGCTCGATAACATTCTGAAACGTTGAGAAATAAAATACTGTAAAATGTAGAAATGTTTTAGATTCGAGGACTGCGCGTTAATTTCCCTGTTGTACTGGCGAGCCCTTCATTATTGACGATTATTTGTTCGTTAATAGAAACAATCGTACTCGCTAGGATTAAAATTGCATATAAAATTAACAGATGTTTATTTCGGCTTGTTAAAAATTGATGACCGTCTCGTTGAGGAATTTTAGTATTTTTCTTTTACATTTGTCTAATTATATCTAGCTTTCGTGTGCGTGTACACACGTGTGTGATTGTCGTTTATCGAAACCCGTTCGCCATTGCCATAAAATTGCTTATGCTGTAAAGGTGCTTGCGAAATGTACATTTAACTAGTCGACTTGAGGGTGACCGTACGTTTGAAGAATAGTAAAATAATTATATGAACGCGGTGTCCTCGGCTAAGGTGTCCTCGAGCACCGATGTGTATCTCCAATAAGTTCGACAACATTTCTGATTGCGCTTACTCGCGTTTTCATCGCAAAAGGCGGCCTTAACGAAGGACGCGCGGCCGCAGATAAGATCTTATTGGCATTTCTGACCGCGGGACCTCTCGAGCGTAATCAGCCGAATGGATCATTTTGGCGGATTATCTCGAGGATAATTTCATTCGCCGCGCGTAAGGACATCGCGGCGGCACGATACGTCCTCATTAAGAGGCAAAAATTGAGGGCCTTGTTAGACGCCGGGGTGGTAAATCCGGGATCCCTCACTTTGTCTCTCCCTCCTATCTCTCCCTTCTTCCTTATCCCGTGCGCGCCGGATCTCTTTCCCTTCCACCCTGCGCACTCTCTCGCCGAACCTCGTTCTTTTTGTTCTCCACCTCTCCCTCTTTCGCCAACGAGTTGTTCACGACTCGTTCGAGAGCGCAAGTCCGCGAGGTCCTGGGATCGATTCTCGGCTCAGCAGGAGGCTCCTCCTACCATGACGGCCATCTTGCAACCGGCACTAGTCTCACTATATCACATCACACTTCACTGCATCGCGGTTGCATTCTTATATTCAGCCATGCGCTCGTATCCTCGGACCATCCCGCCTTGGACCCCGATGGGCACTTTCCTCGAGATGTCGGGAAACGCTTACTTAATTGTCATTGCGAAAGGTACCTGGGGCGCATCGCGATAAACAATTAATCACGAGGGAGTAAACGGGTTTTTTTCTTAATTTACCCACTTGCACCAAAACGACAAGATAGATAAGATAGTAACGATCTAAGGTTCAAGCAAAGGACATCTTTCAAAATGCGTAAGTTTATTCTCCTTTATCCTTGAGAAACGAACGAAATCGCATATTACAAGGTGTAGATAACAATTAGAAGTATGCATCACTTGACAATTGTCTGATCCCTTTAAATCTAAAGTGATCGGTGAACGGAACGTGTGTCTAATTTCTGTTCCAGGTGCTCAAGTACTGCGACCACTTGCACGGAAAGTGGTACTTCTCCGAGGTCCGCGCGATCTTCTCGCGGCGTTACCTGCTGCAAAATGTGGCCATCGAGATCTTCCTCGCCAGCAGAAGTAAGTGCCGGCGATCCCTCTCGTTTTGTTCGTCCTCAATCAGTGCGCCGCTCTCGGACGGAGAGCGCATTCCGTTTCTTGTCGAGTCCCCGAGCGTTATTTCGCGCGACGCGGACGCGATCCACGGATCCGGCGAACGGCCGCGGAATCCCGAACTCGCCGCAAGGTGTTGCGCGCGCGCGCGTCAGTTTTTACATAATAAATATCTCGCCCGCATTACGGTATGTCTCTTTCTAAAATCAATTTCTTATTCAATCCCGCGGGCACACCTGCCGCGGCTCGTTCGTCGCAATCGTAACTGAACTCCGATGGCTTTCGCGCAAATATGGTAGCGTCACTTTTAATCGGGGATTAACCGGCGCATCGATTAAAATACGTGGATTTTGCATTAATTGAATGTTAAATAATTAAAATGAAAATTTTACGCACTGCTGACTTCATCGCGCTCGCGTAATTGCTACTCTGGGGGGAAAAAAAGAGCAACCCATTTTGGGGCCCACAATTAGTAATCGAATTATTTGGATTGTTCGTAACTCTGGGAAAAACTTTGACCGTATTTTTTGTAGTTAAGCAACTTAACATTTCGGTTAGTGCCTCTTGAGTGAAAATTATCTTCGCGTAACTGAATATCGACAGAACTAATTGAGAGAATTGATTAGTGTTACTTGAAAATGTTGGATATAGATAAAATAGCTAATTGCGATTTTTGCTATAGTTACGCGGGGTAAAATTCGTAAAAGATTCGAGTTACGAACAATCGAAATAGTTCGATTACTAATCGCGGGCCCCAAAATGGGCCGCTAACTGTCTCCTTTTTTCTGAGCAATAACGACGCTTTCGTTAACAATTGTTCGTCCTTTGTTTTGTCCGAGGCGGGGACTGCCGTATCCTATAACAAACCGCGCGGGAGAATTATTTATACCTGCCTCGGTCCACTATCCCGCTGATTATTTCTCCGGGGCGCAGATAAATTCCCAGGCGTTCCCCGATTCTAATCTGATCCTGACTTTCGATGCGTCGTGAGGAGACGTTAGCGGTGGAATGTCATCCCTGCGAGGTGCCTTCGCCGTTCATTAAAAAATCACTGGAAACGCGCGTTCGTTAGCCGAAAAACGCCGTGGAACACGCACGGATCGCGTCTCCTCTCGCGATAAATCGTCGAACAATAAAATCCGGGGATGAGTTATTTTATAACGGCGCCGCGGCGTAACTTTCGGCCGCCGTGTGCTTTACGTTACGGTCGTCCGAAATTACGTGAGAGGACCTCCTCGTTATCGAACATAGTCCTGCAAGACGTCTCTCGCGATTACCGCCTCTCGACACGCTACCTCGCTTTCGTAATTTACGTTACTGGACATTGCGACATTGTGGCGCGGATTAAGGCAGCTTCTGTGAGGAAAATGATCGCCGGGGCATCTGCTTTTGCAGATCCTCGGCGCGCGAATGGTAATTAACAGATTAGCAATATGCGCGTACCAGCATAAGTCTAAAGGAAAAAAAAACGCGAAACAGCTGGAGAGGATCCGTGCTGTTGTGCGCGTAATAAATACATGTCGTGTGCAAAATAAATATTACAGAAATAGAAACGCATGCAGATCGATCAGGAGTGCCGGCTTGCATTGCTTGGAAGGTGTTGGTACGAAATTTATTGAAATTGTGCGAATATACTGTTTGCTTAGAGAAAAGAGAAAAGTCAGTTTTGAAATGCACGCGTGTACAAAAATGTTGGCTGTTTTATTCATGTAAGTGAAACGATTGGATTTTCCCTCTTAATTAAGATTAAACTAAGCATTTTGCTTTCGCGTACAGATAGCTCGGTAAATTACCGAGGAAGTATTTATGGTAACCGTCTTCTCGCACGCTACCCTTTGAACTCTCAGGGGGAACGTCGCGGACGCACTCTGAGCGATTGGCTCCCCTTCTCGCGTTCTATCATTCCGCGCGAACAAGCTAATCGATTTTCAAATCTACAAACTTATTGCTACTAGAGCTTAGTCGTTGTGTTATTAATGGGACACAATTATTAATTTAGTATCGTAATCTGAAGACTTTAATAATATTAGCATAGTCACACGATTGAGTAATAATACTTTTGCGGAATCTAAGGCCCGGTTTTGCACTGCCTGGTCAACTGTTAACCAGAGGTTAGGCGAATCTCTATTTTTTTTTATATTATTATCTAAGAAGAGACAGAGAATCGAACTGCTGGTTAACAGTCGGAAAATAAAAAACCAGGCCTAAAGGTATTAAATATTACCGCTTTATCTTTCCTGCAATGTCTTTATCAAACTATTGTTTAAACAATACAATTCTTATCGATATTTTCATACGTAAATACAAATGTCTGAAGAGTTCGATTTCTAAAATAGGAAGGAGTTCTCTATCGTTCTCGCTCATCGCCCGAATGATTGACGTCGACGCAGCCTCGGAGTCGGACTCGCTTATAATTCACACTTTAACACCTTTTTGTCCACAGCTTCGATCCTGTTCGCGTTCTCGGACCAGGCGACGGTGAAAAAGATGATCAAGGCGCTACCGCGGGTCGGTGTTGGCATCAAATACGGGATACCCCAGACTAGGTAAGCGATAACTGCCCGTAGGAAGGAAGCGCTTCTGCCGTTCCACGGAAAGATACAAGGGTCTCGGAATCTACTTCCAAACATGCTCGTCGCATTCTCTCGTTTCTTTGTCCTTTTGAGTAAGGCGATTCCAGGGACGGATTCGAAGCGCTTCTTTCTACATTTATCATTTCCAGTAGAGCTGAAATTTTTCTTCGAAGATTTTCAATTTCGAATCTTCGAAGATTCGAAGCTTAGTAGAAATTATTCGAGAATTGAAGTTTTCGAATTTTCGAATATTCGAAGTCAACTAATGTATTAACAGGATAAAAAACAATAACACATTTTGCAAAATTAATCGTTTTTACTATAACTGTGAACTAATTAAATGCCAACTAATTAATATCATTACAAGTATAAAAAAACAAATGTTCTTTTTGTCGGACACATTTTTGTCCATTCGCTCATAAAAATACAATTTATTCGAAGGAAATAAATTTCCTATCATTAACATTTTATCTTATAAACTATTTCTTTTTACTGCCTGATACAGATGATAGATACAGATGATAAATTAGGTTGGTCTTTGAAAGCTTATATCTTAATGCATTAGTTGACTTCGAATATTCGAAACTTCGAAACTTCGAAACTTCGAAAATTCGATATTCGAAGTTTCTTCGTTTCTTCGGATACTTCGAAGCTTCGAAGTTGCGAAGCTTCGAATAATTAAGACCACTAATTTCCAGTATATATCTCGACTACAAGAACACAAATGAAAATTTAAATATTTTGTTGCCATTCGCTATTAGTGGAAGAAGGGGGGATAAGATGAAGAATCTTTCTGGCTGATTTTGATTTGGCGAGCTGATTCTTGAAAGCAATAGTAGAGATGTAGACATCGGTTGTCGCTAATAAGTGATAACATTGAAAGCTACATTCGTACGTAAATGTCTTTTAACAACATTATAATTATGATCTATATGTGTCATTTTCATATCTCAAAAAGATGATTTTTATTTAAAACCTTGTTTTTTATCATTGGAAGATTGCTTATGGTCACCAGTAATGAATAAATTCTAACAGGGACTTATGGTCAACCCAACTGGCTAGTAGCTTTATTTAAGTAGATACAACGTTTCGACCCTAGTTTGGGTCCTTTTCAAGTAATACTGCAATCAACAACAATCATAATTATAATAAATAAGTCAAGTATAATAAGCTCACATGTACCGAAAATTTACAATATGACACGGTCTCTTCCGACATGACGACATACTTAGGTTTGTTTATTAATTTATACTCGTTTTATAATTTAAGTACCTAATTTATATCTTTAATTGTTATTTAATTTACATGTCTTGCCTATCTTGTTTTACTCACCATGACTTACCATTGGTCGCTGTAATTCTCACCGTACTGTAACTTATTTCGTTTACTTAACAATATTATACCTGGTTTATTTTATTCTTATTACTAATTTAATTATTTTACAATTTAATTTATACATACTCTACGTATTAGACTTTATTACCGTGACTTATACTAGTCTACCATTTTTAATTTAATTTATACTTGACTTATTTATTATAATTATGATTGTTGTTGATTGCAGTATTACTTGAAAAGGACCCAAACTAGGGTCGAAACGTTGTATCTACTTAAATAAAGCTACTAGCCAGTTGGGTTGACCATAAGTCCCTGTTAGAACTTGTTTTTTATTTTATTTTGGTATTTATTGGTAGGAAATTACATATTATTTATTAGCCGTACAAGTATTACTTTTTTTATTATCTTTCATCTTATTACTGTATGTGAGTGCCATTGAATTCTAAATCGAAGATATCTAAATAATGAAGCTTTATGCGTAGCAAAACTTTTGTCAGTTCATAATCTATTGCCAACATGCGCTATTTTATTATTTATCCGATCTCGTCAAGCTTTTCTTTTAACACAAATATTTGTGGCATCTGAAAGAACGAGAGTACGGCAATATAAACGAGCGTAGGGAAGACAGCGCAAACGCGCGAAATTCGTCCCTGCACGAAGGTCTGTGTCTTTCTCGTGTTGCAAGCGCCAAAAAGAGAGAAATTCATGGAGGGTACGAAGCCTCCCATAGATCGGCAAGAGTCGGCGGCAAGAACAGAGGCTCGCGTTTATCCGCGCTTCGACTCATCCATTACAACGTTCCTATACGAGATAGCCGGCGAGAATACATCGGCCATAAATACACTCTGACGTTTCTCCTTTCGATTGATCTGAAAAGAGAGAAAATTCCTGGCTAACCAAAATAATTGGTAAAATACATAAAACGCAAAGTCCACATCGTGACATAGAAAGGAACATATTTGCTGACAAGTGTCTTAGTTGCACATAATGTTTGATATTAGCACATACCGTTTAATTATTTGACGACAATTGTTGCTTGATTAATTTTAAACAAATAATATTTTAGTGTAATTTTAATCAGCACTTTGAGGTGGACTTTTATCGCAATTTTCATTATATCGAGGTATTAAAAATTCAAGTGTCAGACATGTGGATTTGTTCCTCACCAAAAATACCTTTCATTAAAATTTAATGCAATGAACGCGATGCATTTACATGTTTCGATAATAATAATTTTATTTCACAAGAATTGTTTATTGTTATGTGACAATGTAGTCGAGTAAGATTCGCGAAATCTACTTACGTAATAATTTCGTATACGCTCCATCATGTACTCTGGGGAAAAAAAAAGACAGTTATAACCCATTTTGGGACCCACCATTAGTAATCGAATTATTTGGATTGTTCGTAACTCTACTCTGGGAAAAATTTTGACCGTTTTTTGATGTAGTTAAGCAACTTAACATTTCGGTTATTGCCACTTAAGTGAAAATTATCTTTGCGTTACTGAATATCGACAGAACTAATTGAGAGAATTGATTAGTATTACTCTAATATCTTGAATATGAATAGAACGGCTAATTGC